ATTAACCAATCAGATTTTGTAAAATCACGAAATGATCTACAAAAATTATCCAATCAGAATAAAAGCCCGCTATGCTAATTGGGCGCAATTACATAAAAAAAAAAATTTTTAGCGGGCAAATTTGCCCGCTAGACGGTTTAAGGGATAAGTGCTATACATACTTATTCGCAAAAGGTATAATACATATAAATGCAGCTTGATAATATGTGCGTATTGGTTGGTGCCACTGTAGGCACATACATATATTCACAAGGAAACTGGTACACCGTTGAAGATTAGTTTCATCTATAATTCTGTTTCACCATCGGTGCACCAGTTTCGCCTGGTGCACCATCGGTACATCATTGAAGATTACATACTATACATCTGTATATGGTATGAGAAGTTTTGTAATGCATATAGTAGATAGTGCCTTCAATTAATCTTGTAACATGTGCAATAATACAATTGTTATATAATGAAATTCATTAATCATAAGTAATAATAATTCGCTCTTCAACTCAGTCATAATATATGGCACAAATGTTTACTGATGACTGAATCAAAATATAAACAATTTTCCGGCAAAATATGAATGAAGCAGGCTAAGGTTCATGAGTTTCATAGTGCTTAGCTAAATCATAAAAATAAATATAAAAACAATAAACAAACAAATAATCTTGATTTTCCAGTAAAGTCATCTTATACATATGGGCGAAAATCTTCATTTCTGTGATTAGATAAATTGAATGATGGGATTACATAGAATTGAGCCAATAATATATATGATATAATTTGATTAATAAGATTAAAAGTGATTATTTGCCAGTGAATGTAAAATTACTTATGAATTACTTATGATCTACTTATCAGTTACTATCAGCTTTTATACACTATTCATAGTAAAGTAACCAAAAAACAACCCACATATGGCGGATTTTGTGATGTTAATGATTCGAATTTTAATAATCACAACATTATATTAAAAATTTTCGCCCATATGATAAATTATAACTATCGAATTGGTCAATTTATATAAGCTTAGTATTTTATGACTAGCTCCTTTGCTGATTTATCATAAAAATATAAAGAATTAAAATATTTGAATGTCTTGGTTCTTTAATCAATATGGTCATTTTATTGTACTTAATATGATCTAGTAATAATATCATTATTCAAAACTTTAATTCAAAGCACAACCGTAATCTGTGATTGGTTAAGCCACTGATTTCAATCACCATCCGATTATGCCTTGAATCATGATGAAAAAGCTATTGTAATTTGAAAAGGCTTATTATTACGAAGTTGAATATACAGTAAAAAAAACGATTTGATCGTATTTGAATATATATATTTTTTTCGATTTTATAAATTAATTTTTTTTTATCTAAAATAAGGTGCAAATTAAAAGTTTAAATAACCCTATCGACATCTAATAAGATTTAAAAGAGACCAAATTTTTTAATATAGTTTATAAAAAATTTTTTTTTAATATGAAAGGTACTTCAAATGCTTCGAAGGTTATACAAATTTGGATATGTTTTAAAAAAATTTATAAATCGGAATTAAGAAATGGAAGAGAACGATATTTCCAGAATCACTTCATTTTTAGTTATTAATTCAAACTGTCAAAATTTTATGCCAACATTACGAATCGTGTTAGATAAACTCAAAGATCAGTATAAAATGTAACAAAAATAAAATCTTCCGAATACTTTTCTTTATGATTTTAGTCACGACTGTTCAATCAAAAGTGCTGCGAAAACCTGAGTTCATGAATAAATAATATGGAAGAAAGAAGAATTCAGCTCTTTTGAGTTATTTTCATTCAAAAAAGGTAAAATTAAATAAAAAAAAAAAAGTATCATTTAAGTAAACATTTAGCACGGTTAAAGAAACAACATACTGTTTGCTTTGCTTAAAGTAATTATAATATATTAGAGGAATATTTATGTGGTATTCGTTATTTTATTTTTAAAATTATTAAAAGTTTTATATTGTTTTTATATATATATTTGTTTAGTTAGAGTTTGGAACCGGTTTTATTTTTCATACCAATTAAAACTGGGTTTAGCATATGAAAAATTAAACCGGTTCCAAACACTATATTTAGTTAATATCAAAAGGCAACTTTTGAATTTATAAGTTTTTAAATTCTAACTTCAGGTATTTTTTGCTAATAGTTTATAACAGCATGACATAATATTCGCGTAATAGATAAAGCCACAAATAATGTAAAGAAAAAAGAATTAATTGGTGGCAAAGTATGTGGCGATTGTTTTGTATAGCTCGAACGTTTTAAATGTTTGTTTTACAAAACAAAAAGCTTTTGCAAAATAAAAAGAGGTGGCGTCGCAAACTTACAAATTATATTCATGACAATTCAGCATCATTTTTCACTATAGTAATATAAACTTACAATACATTAAATATAAAAATTTTAATTAGTCTCGTACTCAGATGATATTATAACTTAAGTTTTAAAAAACGAAGGATGTCATCATTGTATAAGAAAATTTTTTTCTTTTATTTTCTGTTTTCATTAATAGTCCAAGCGACACCATTAAATATTAGATCTTTCACTCGAGATGAAGGTTGTGAACATGTTCTTTATCCACCTGAAATTTTAGTACCACTACCTTATCTCAAAAAATGCCTTTCCACTATCAAGGGATCAGCCGTTTATCCGGATAATCCCCAATATTACGATTGCATAAGAGTTGCAAATTGTCGAAATCCTTATTTTCCTGTGGCAGTAGTTTATGTTGCTGAAGTTTTAGATATTCAAAAATCAATTCATTGTGCAAATACTTTAAACATTTCGATCGTTGCCAGATCCGGTGGTCATTCTTTTGAGGGATATGGAAATGGTGGAAAGAATGGAGTTATGGTGATTGACGTTCAAGAGTTTAATCATATTAATATTAATACTGAAACGAAAACCGTTGTTATTGGAACTGGAAATAGATTAGGCCCCGTTTATTATAAATTATATCAAGCTGGATTCTTAATTCCAGCAGGAAGTTGTCCTAATGTTGGTATTGGTGGTCATGCTACCGGTGGTGTAAGTATTTATAATTTATAGAATAATTATTACTTAATTTATTTGTTTAGTAATTTATTAAATAATTTGTTAGGGTTTTGGTGTCGTTGCAAGAAAGTATGGAATGGCATCCGATAATATTATTGGCGCCGAAATGGTTGTAGCAAATGGAACTTTCATATCTCCTATTAATTCTACTCATAATCCTGATCTATTTTTTGTGCTTCGAGGAGCTGGTAATGCCGGCTATGGCATAATAACCTCTCTTACCTTCAGGATTCATCCCATTCAACCAATAGTTACCTCAATAAATATCTCCTACTATTCAGAACAAGTCGAAGTGGTGTTTATGTCACTTTCCAAAGTATCTAAAAATCTTAGCGAAAATATAACTCCCTACCTTGCTGTAATGGCCGAAAGTAGTGGCTATTATACTGTTTCAATTACAGCTACATATTTGGGACCAGCTGAAGAGGCACGAATTGCTGTCAAAGAATTAATCGAATTATCAAATCCTGTATATACAAAATTTGAAGAAATGACTTGGTGGAGATCTGTTATGGAAACATTTACACAGCAACAAACCGTACACCCAGTATTTCCTCCTCAACCTTTCAAATCTACATCTTATAATATTCCGCTACCAGGACTTTCTCGGGAAGGCATTAGATTTTTAGTAAACTTTATCAGTAATGTTGAATGCACTACAGTAGCGTTATTTGATGTATATGCAGGTGGTGGTGTTCTAAGTGGAATTTCAGGAAATAGTTCTGCCTATATTCACAGAAATCTTCTTTTTGTAATGCAATTAGAAATGAAGTTAAGTGATCGTGATAAAGAAACTCGAATTAGATGCGTAGAGAAACATTTACAATTTAGAGAAGAATTTCAAGCAAAATATACTTCATATTTTAGTTATCAAGATTATATAGATAGAGACTTGCACGATTGGGCAACAAGATATTATGGTGTTCACTTACCTAGATTAATTGAAACTAAAAAGAAATATGATCCTAATAACTTATTTAGTTGGGAACAAAGTATTCCTACACAATTACCATAATATTTAATTCAACAATAAATATATATATATATATATTTATTTATTTATTCCAGTTGTTATAATACTTATTTTTCCATATTTAAATTACTATATATTTTGATTAGTTAATTCTCTAGTAAATTATTTAAATTTTTAACAAATTTCAATTAATTACTGTATAAGAATAAAATCTTTATATATATTAATATATTTATATTTATATATATTAACTTTGCATGCGACGTAATCATGTTAAACTAGGAACTGGATATAGAGTTTGGAGTCAGTTTATTTTCATATGTTAAAACCATTGCGCAAAATTGTGGCATGACGTATTCCGAAGATCTTTCTATTAAACGGAATTTTGTATCTTGTGTCGGAGATATCACGATTATGCATTTTACAATTAATTATAGGGTCTCAATTTTTCCACACTCTTTTTTGATATTTCCACACCATAGGTAAATCACTTTTTTTTTTAACTTCGATCGAAAGTAATTCACTAACCACCCGGCAGAATTCTTTGAAACCGTAGAATTCAAATAAAAAAAAAATTCATCGAATTTAGTTGTGTGAGTGTCGAGGTACCTTCGATCAAAAGTCAAGAAAATTTTTCCGCCGCCGCTATTTTGATAGACGTTTAAAAAATTTTCTTGAATTCGATTAAGTTAATTCGGCAACCACCAAACCAAATTTTGATGGATTTTTTTTTTATTTGTATTCCACAATTACATAGAATTTAAATAAAATACATATATATTAACTGAATTTGGTAGGTGGGTGTTGAGATATCTTCGATCCAAGTCATCATCACCTTTAAGAAAAATTTTAAACGTCTATCTAAATAATTAACCATAGCTGCCGCAACCACGGCAGATTCTCAATTTTGATTGGCTAAGAGCGAGGCATAAATTAGGTCGGAATTATTCATAATTTTATTAATGAAATCAGCCACTCATTTAAGTGAAATTGTTCTTGGGCTAATTTTACCATAATGCCGGCTTATTTTTTAAAAATTTCTGTTATTGTAAAGAAAAAAATTAAAAAGTTAATTCCGGCCGTAAATAGTAAACAATTATGTAATGCGGGCCAAAATTTTGAAGATCCTCTGCAGTTAGCCAATCAAAATGAGGGTCTGCCGTGACAATTTTGTTGCGGTGGCTATGGTTAATATCAAAATATTAGTTGCGGCAAAATTTTCTTGTAGTTATTTTGACATCTATGCAACCAAATTAGATGAATTTTTTAAATTTGAATTTTAAGATTCTGGAGAATTCAAATAAAATTTTATTATATTGGTCAGGTTGTTAGTGAGTTACTTTTGATCAAAGTTAAAAAAAACATGATTTACATGGGGTGTGAAATATTAAAAAAAAGAGCATAGAAAAATCAAGTCCTAATTATATTATAAAATTATGAACTTAAAATTTTAATATTTGAAAAATATATATATTTGAAAATTTACAGTATATATTATATTAAGACGATTGCTATTTGTACACCAGGTGTATGTATACACATATGTTGATATCTTAAAATCCTGATTAAAATAGCTTTTGGGGTTCTAACAAAAAATATTTCTTGCAAAATTTTAGTATAAACTATAACTCATCTAACTCTAAAGCTACCCTCACTCTAACCTTAAGCTATACTAATTTTTCGTCTACAATTGTATGTTAAACAAATTCATAAATCAATAAATTAGTATGTGTATATATACACCTGGTGTAAATTAAGAAATTTTCTTATATTAATTTACTTTATATTGTATTTATTCTTTATATTATACTATTTATAATATATTTATTTCAATTTATTTTTTTCAATTTCTTTTCTCTTCAAAAAAATTTATTTTAGTGGGATACCACCTGTAATATAATTATATTACAGGTGGTATCCCACTTGGGTTAGATTATAGTATTGCTATATAAT